GACTCCGGTTCCCACGTCCAGCCCAAGGAGGGCTACAGTTCCCACGTCCAGCACAAGGAGGGCTCCAGTTCCCACGTTCAGCCCAAGGAGGGCTCCAGTTCCCACGTCCAGCCCTAGGAGGGCTCCAGTTCCCACGTCCAGCCCTAGGAGGGCTCCAGTCCACACGTCCAGCCCTAGGAGGGCTCCAGTTCCCACTTCCAGCCCAAGGAGGGGTGGAGGGTGGGGGTTATAGGGATCCGGCAGTAGAGGCTGGGCTGAGTGCCGAGGCCAGGCCCCCGGAACTGTCTGCTCCGCCATGGCCTCCTGAACTTCCTGATCCACCATGGTCCCCAGAACTGCCTGATCCTGCCTGGAGGCCTTCCTTGTCCCCGTCCTGCACCAGCCTAGGGCACCCGCCCCCCCCCCATTTAAGCCCTGTGTTTTCCTGAGTCCTGGGTTCAGTCTCAAATGTCTACCCCGTGTGCTACGTGTGTGTTCCCTGTTATTTTGGTTTCATTAAGAGTATTTCTGTTCTGGATCTCCTTCGTCTCCACGCTCCTTCGTCTCCTCACAGTAGTGCAACCCTGACAGCAAGTACATGTTAACTTATTCTAACCCTAACACTCTACTAATACTCTAATGAGAGCTAGTAGACATGTAGGTGCAACGTTACTTATAGTCAACAGAATGTTCAAAAGGGACCATCAAAATAAAGTGAAACCAAAAGGATAATTTTAAAGATGTCATCATTGAATGCATTCTGTGCCAAAGCAATGATAAATTATCCACAGTTTAGCCCACATAGACCGTGACCTAAGTATTCAGAAATGTGTCCTAGTGATTGTAAAAAAAAAAAAAGTAATTTTTTTTTCAATGTAGTATTTTATGCTATCAAAAAGCATTTGTCCTTACAACACAGAATATGCACTGTAGATCTTTAGGCCTAGTCTTGAGTCCACTTGTGTTATACTACACGGGTCAGTGTGAGCGTGTCTGCTTGTGTTCTTGTATGTGTGTAGCTGTCCTAGTCCTCTTGTCTAAATCTTTCCACCCTGTGGGGGGCTAATTCAGGAAGGAGCCCCAGGTTGTAAGACAGAGCACAGGGTGGGTTGTGGGGGCGGTTTGTGCTCTTTCTACCCCATGGCATGTTGCCATCCCCGTCTGACTGAGCAGAGATGACTGCCCGACCCCTGGCTGTCTGTGTGTATTTGTCTGGGATGTCTGAGCAGGATTTATGTGAAACTTTCTGAATCATTTTATTTCATTGTTCACCATCTGTACCAGCCATACAGTCTACGCTTCCTGATAAATATGATCCATTTATTTTCATCCAACAGAAGTATAATTCCTTTGACCAACGTATGTTCCTTCATTCTAAATGAGTTCAACATAATTGGCGTTAAATTAACAAGGCGTCAATGTACCATGCAGTTGAAAACTGTTTGTTTTTACAGACAGGCATCATATCCCTGCTACTACATCCCTTTAAGCAGGACCCCACAGGTGTCCTACAGTAACCGGTTTACACACACTAGGGATAGTTATTCAGTTCAAAAGAATAACAAAGTTCATGGATTCTTCATTAGCAAAATAACAAGAGAAATATTCTCCTCTAATTCTATTCAAAGAAAATTAAGATGGCTGTAACACTACTTTTTACAATTGTTAGCATGGCCTTGTGAGTTTTTCTAGTGTATATGTCTGTGATGTGTTTCTGTTGGAGATATTTTGTACATATATTCATTTTTGTTTGATTACCTTTCACTCACTTTGATTACCTTACATAAAAAAGGAAATTCTTTTTTTTTTTTTACTCGCCCTCACGTCATCTGTATGACTTTCTTCTGTACAACTCAAGAAAAGTTTGTAAGACAATTTAAAAAAATAAATTAGTCACAGTAAAAAGTCACAATTACTAGAACTGTCATACTTGAAAATGTAATTGTACAATTTATTAAGTTATAAAGCTGCAAATTAGAGGCAATTCCTAAATCCTCTACATAGACTGTGGTCAGATTGTGGCATGTTAAGTCAAATTGTAAGCTATAAAGTCATATTGCAAAATATAAAGTGTACAGTTATCTTTTAACAGCCTTTCATAAATTTGAGTGGAATTATACAGGGTAAGATTAAAGACAATTCTTGGTCTGTTTCTAAATTTACTTTTAATTGTGTAGTTCTTTAGAAAACCATATATGTACTGGTGATTTAAAGGTATAAGAATCTTACAGTTAGAATCTAAAATGTAACATCAACATAGCAAACTCAAGAACCTTAAAGAGCCTTATGGTTCTTTAGCTGAACCTAAGGTGCTACAAAGAACCACCTTTGTTTTTAGAAAATCCCTGCTTCACAGACAGCATATATAATCAGAAGCTATCTGCTATAGATGATTTGGGATCAGGTGATTGTGTGTTTAGTGAGCAGGAGGCATCCTTAAAGCCTAACAGTGTCCTTTAACCCTCTTCTCCTTATTTCCCTGTCTGCTGAACCCCTTCTGGACCTGAACTGTATCTTAAACACCACTTTCACACAAGGAAAAAAAAGAGGATTTTCCAGATATGGTAACAACTGGTATCAGCATCCATTTCGGGAGATCCAGTCACAAGCTGACAGTGCCAAATACAGGTATAAAAGGTGTCCAAATATGTCCTCGAATGCATTTGTGATCCAATCAGATGTCCAGCTTTGAAGCTGCTCAGGGACACATAGGGCAACATTTCATTTGTAGTGTAAACGCTAATGCATCCCGATGTGCCCCCAGACAACAATGAAAGACCACCTACTCACAGAACACATAACCAATTCACCAAGACCAAGGTTTTATGCTTAGCCAAGTAGATACAGCTTTAAAATAAAACAATCATCTGATCGTTTTCTGTATGTCATGCAGTGACACGCTTATGCAAAGCAATCCTATTAATCAGACTTCATTTTAAAAGTACATTGTAAGCTCTGAATTGCTTTAAAGTGTTGTTCAATGTAGGTTTAAGTAATAAGCTCTTCTACAAACGTAAACATTTATCTTTCATGCTACACAGTCACATGTTCCACAGTCTTTGGTTAACTACAATGACTAGATCCATGGTTACCAATAATAATAATAAAAAAGTCTCTAATTAAGAGTGGTGTGTCCAGTGGGGAGATGAGATATGATTACGCTTTAGACATTCTACTAACTGTAAGTAACTTTGCAGCTATTTCAACTGCCAGTCATTGAAGTAAAAGTAGACTGTCTGCTTAATATCTGCTAACAGTTTATTTTGATGGTTCCTGTATACAGTAGCCAGTACAAACGACACAGGGGATTTATCATTAACACTTGTTTCTCTGGATAATGTTATATGAAGCACCATTACTTCAAACGAGTTATACTTGAAACACGCCTTCTGAGAAATACTGAAAACATTGTTATAAATTGAAGCAACACCTCCCCCTTTACCTTTTGGACAAGCGCTATATAAATAAAGGTGACTTGACTTGACTTGATGGTTCCCCAACACACATTGTACTTATAAGTAACTATGTCAACTTATTCTACTAACCCTAACCCCTAAGCCTAAACTTAACCCTAGCCTAACAGTCTACTAATACTCCAATGAGAGTTAGTTGACATATAGATGCAAAGGTACTTAAAAAAGTGTAACCAAAAGAACGCAGTAATGCATGTCCGGTATCATGTTTAGCTGTTCTGTTTAATAGATGCTTTCTTCTTAATGAACTGCTTATTCATAAAATAATTAAGTCAATTATTAACTCAATACTTAGGTCACATTTTCAAAATGTTTTCACGCACTGAGCACAACAGCAGTCTGTGTGGGCTAAACTGTGGATCGCTTCTCATTGCTTTGGTACAAAATGCATTCAAGGACTACATCTTTCAAATCACATGAACTCTTTTCTCACTCAAACACAACCACTGCCAACCCTCTATGTAACTAAAGGCCAATTTGCACCTTTGCACACTTTTTTCAAAACTGACTTAAGTTAAACTTTAGTTCAAGTGCAAAAAATGAAATACTATTGAAACGATTAGACGTAGCTGAACACCTACACGTCTTTCATTTCCATTGTCATCTATACAAAATGGGACTACTTGGTAATAATTTTGTACTGTAATGTAGACATGGATCATGTGACATACACTGAAGTGAATTCTAAACAGTAGAAAGCTGTCATTCCCTCCCCCCCCTGTGTAATGCTACTTGAGTTTGTAGGTCATTGTTTTATGAGTAATACACTGTGTTTGATAGGTGACACTCTTAGTGTTACGGAAGAATGGCTTGATTTTAAACATGTTTTAGTGCATTTTGTATGAGACATTTATTGCTGTGCCAAGTTGAAAATTTTAAAAAGTGACCCAAGTATTGAGAAATGTGTCCCAGCGAGTGTAAAAATCTAAATATTAATGCAATTTGTACTCTCAGCTCACCAAAACACCCATTTACTGGTTTTATTTTTTTCCCTTTCTTTCTCTTTCTAGACTGATACTGCTGACTTTGAGATTGAAAGGGAAAAAAAACAGCTCACATAAACACTGTTTTTCTCTCTTTCTTCCCATGTGTTCCCCATGCTTCTGGTGGCTGATACGTTTAGGAAAATATAGTTTTTTTCTCTATCTCATATTCCTATTTCTCCCTCTCCTGGATGGCATGTCACCGCGCAGTCACAACATCACAGGCTGCTGCTGAAGAAGAAGACAAGCGACTCCCTCGCTCCCCCGTTCCTCCATCCATCTCT